TAAATGATATAATAGCATGGTTAAAGTTCAGATACTGTCATGTGACTTTTGGCCTAATTTTCATTTTTGCATCTGTTACTGGCAGTCTTGTTTAATTTCTTAAGTTTTTTTAAAATAACTTAATTATGTAATCTACCACACTTCTTTCCAGCTATGCTAGTTGAAAACATGTTTTCTCAGTGTGATCTAGTCAATACTGGAAAGGATCACACACTTTTAGCGTATGGTTTACCAACCACAGGTCACAGCCAGAACACCGAGAGGGAAGGCAATTCTAACCACGCAGCTAGTCATCATTAAACTGATGTCAGAGTTGGATATTAATGGAGACCTGTGCAAGAATACTGTGCAGATACCCTTTTACGACCTAGTCATTCTTACATAAAGGCTTTGTTTTGCATTTTTACTCACAGTGTGTAAATCTACAAAAGTGTGTTGAAATGCAGGAAAGATGTGTGAGCATGCAGTTCAACCATTTGGGACTGTCAAATATTACTTGCAGCTGATCTTGAAAACAATTTTCAAAAACTAGACTGGAAGCTTAGATCTTTTGAAGTCAGACGTGACAGAGGCAGATGACCAAGCTTTGCTCCTAACCCTGTCCCTGGCTGCTTGTCTAACATGCCATAGGTGATTGAATCCCAGGGTATGACGTGCATTTCTTCTCTGGGAAGGACCAGCCCATGGCTCAGCAGTGGAAGAGAAAGGGAGCTCCCCCTTCCATGCTTACTTTTCTCCAAGAAGAGAGCTTTAAAAAGCATAAATGAGGACTTTTCATGAACTGCCTTCCCCCTGACCAGCAATGATTTTGTCCAATACTTCTTGTCTGATATAAGGAAGACAGGCACCTAACATGGGCTGCACTGCTCAAACTCTGCTTCAGGCTCCCTGTTCTTGTTGGCCCATACTGGCTTCCATACATACGGGAAAATTTCGACAGCAGTTTAACAGAATGGAGTCAGGAATCCCATAGTCTTCATGACAACAAGCAGAAACAAAAAGCAGTTGGCAAGGAGTAATTCCGCAGTATTCAAGAAACTCAGATTGAGAAGTAGTACAGCAAGTTCCTTTCATCAAGACAGGGATTTTCAAAAGTCTAAAAGAGTTGTTAATATTCTTCTCATTAAAAACACTGCTCTCAAAGTCTTTCACTGGGTGTTAGGCAACATTTTAAAATCAAAATTTCTCTATGTTAAAGTAACATCTGTCTCTGCTCTCATTTTGACCCTACAGTCTCCCTTGTAAGAGAAAAAAGGGGGGAAAAAGGCAAAAAAAGGAAAACACAAATGCCCTGAAAAAAATGGAAGAGCAGAGAATAGCATCTGGAACCTAGAGGAACAATAGTATTAAAGGTTTCAAATCTTAAATGAGATGGAACGTCTTAGCTTCAGAGCCTGCAGCATCTCCCAAACACCAAGAAAACAGGAACAAATTTAGTAGAAATAAAGACAGCAACCATTTCCATTTTCTCCTTCCAACTTTAAAGCCTTTCTTCACCTCAAACTTTTAAAAAATGTAATTCACTGATTTTAGACCTAGAAATAACCACTTTAAAATTGTTCACTGCACATTAATTCTTTGTCTGCCTGAATAACAGAAGATCAGAAGCTGTTAGACTGTACCTCCACAACTTCACAGGTAAGGTGAGAATACTATCAACACTGAAGAGACAAGTGGGAATGCAGAGAAAAAAATTTTATTATATATAAACATGCTGTGCAGAAACATACATATTTCATATTTTTCTGTGTAGAGTCGAAGATGATGGTTAAAGTAAAGCAGTCTCTGAATGATAAGGGTTTTGGCTAACCACTTCTTCTGACAGTGTTTTAATTCCATTAAGACATCTGACTGTATGCATTACACTGCTGAATTTAGGCATGAACCCTGCTGAAAGGAGATTTTGATGCTCCTTTGAAGTAAAAAACCTGCTATCCAGAAAATAAGTATCTGCAGCAAGAAAAAGAACATGGCACATTTGAATCCATTTTGACCCAAAACTAGAGGCTAAGGCATCTGGAAATTATTGCTTTATCTGACAACTCTTAGACAAAGTATTTTGTTATAAAACTAAGCAATCTCAATGTAATACTGCTGGTTACAGAAGCAATACGTGCTTCTATAAGATGGACAATGATTATCTTCTTTGTCATTAAGTCCAGCACTCAGTTCTAGACTTCTTACCTGACCTAATCTAACACTGTCTGGGAGATGAAAGAGGAGGGAGGTTGGTTTTTGGATAGCAAAGGTGGGAAAAGTTTGTTATCATTTGCACACAAAAGCTTTTCAGAAGTCAAAATACAGAACACTTTTAGAGATGCTTGAGCAGAAAAATATGTTCTGCAGGCAACACAAAATGCATCCAACATCCAGTTCCTCGGCAGAATGTTAGTTATTTATACCATCGTGGAGGGTGATAACTGACCAGTGCTAGCTGTCCTTAGAAAGGTTGTGTAGAAGGACGCACTGTGACTTTAAGATGACACAAAATGGCACAAATGAAAACAAAACTCACTGTCCCTTTCTTGCATTTCAGCCATCTTTCTCCCATTTTTGGCTTACAGTGGGCATGCTTCAGTCTATTTTAACAAATTACAACATTCTGAAATCAGCAGTAATGCTAAACTAGTAATGTATTTACAAATACTGGGTAGTTTTCTATAGGAGAACTGTGTTACTTAAGATAAAGCTTGGTATGAAAAACACAGCTGAGTTTGAGGGGCTCTTTTATAACATTTTATGATAATTAGACCGTATTTTGTTGTAGTTGTTATGCATCTTATTCTTATTTTGTTTAATTATTTCAACATTTCATATAGCTTAATGGATGCATATTCCAAAATAAAACCCTGAATCAAAAAATTTCCAAACCTACTCAACTGTAATTTACGTGTCCTTAGACAAATGTCTACTGACTAGGACATAATAATATATATAACAGGAAAAGTTAGTAATTATATTATATACCTAAAAGGAATTAAAGTATATATACCAAAAGCCAAAATGGCAAGTTAGAATACCTTTAAAAAATATAGCACTGTAGTGTTGTTTTTCTCTCTACTGAGTGTGTTTTCCTCATTGCAACAACGAGGCACAGCGCAAATTAAAAAGCAAAATATTCCATAAAACTATCATAATTGGTAGATATTCTCCCACCTCTCCAATATAACACTGAAACAAGTAACCTTTTGAAATGTAAACAATCTACATGAACACACATTTGTTCGGGATTTCAAACAAAGGCTTCTCTTAAGTCTGTTGCATTCCCCAAACTGCTTGACTAACAACACTGACAGCTCTTAAGGCAAGATGAGCAGCATTCAGATTCCACCTGAGCATCAGGTGCTCAACAACAGAACAACACAAGGGAGGATTTTATAGTCCCCATTGCTGCAGAAATAACAGAGAGTCAGCTCAGAAACTTACTGCAGCACATCGCAGAAAACATCACATCTTTCTGATTTAGATTTTCATTCCAAGAAGGAATATAAGCGGTTATTGGGGGTGAAATCTCCTCAATTCTTGGAAGGCAACCATTCAGTTCTATGTTACTCTAGTTAATGAGATGTTCTGCAAGCTGCAAAAGGTCTGGAACTAGTCTGTTACCTAATAAAGTCATACACATTTCTTTAAATATCTGCCTTCCTCATACTTCAAGGGGCTTGCTATGCTACCCACAGAGCAAACTGCCAACTCACAGCTGACTGGAGAACTAAGATGAGAGCAGAAATAAATAAGAAAATCAAAACTAAGAGAGCGTACAGGAGGAATAAAAAAAAGAACATGAAAACTTTTACAGGTGTGATAATAGTATACATATGTAGTAGTAGTATATAGCCATGTCAAACACCACAGCCGATGTCCTTGACTTTGCCCAAAGAGCAATATAGTAATTATGGCTTAACTCCATCTTTTCATAAACACTCCAGAGCTGTAAAACTACTGAGTGCTCTTAATATAAGCTAAAGCAGCCCTAGTAACCCCTCTAGCACACCAGTGATCAGTTTCTCAGGTACCTTGTGTCTGGATTCCCATGGCATGGCTCCTGTTGAAGGGTACACAGAGTTTACTGTGGTAGTGCAGATCCCTAGTCTACCATAAACCATCTTTTGGCTACTTCAGAGGTGGGAAGGGGATGGGCTTGTGAGGCCTGAATTACGGACTTTTTGTTATATTCACAATGTGGCATAAACAGAAGTAGGTTAACAGAGCTGACTAGCAGCCTTCATCCTTAATAATAGCTACTGAAACCCTCAAGCCTTATACTTGTTACTCTACTGAGGCAAATTCATCACTGAAATGCCAAATAAGCAGTGCTTCTGCAGCACCCCATTGCATGGCAGTACCTGAGAGGAACAGAAGAATTACCTCTGATTTCATCTATGCATTAGCACTAACCTTTAATTTTCTGTGTCACTTTACTAAAGAATCTGGTGAAAGAGAAAAGAAAATGCAAAAAGTCAGTGGTATTTGCCAGTAAAACTTGCAAACCATCTACCACACTGTTAGGACTTGATCCAAAGCCCACTGATGTCGATGGGCTGAGGATCAAATCCTTCTTCAGCTTTTGAAACTATTTCATCTTTGAACTGACAATTGTATATTTGGGCTGCAGTCTCCATATATATCTTATTTGCCCATGATCTGTCCAATCAAGTTGTGAAAACCTCCAAAGATGGAGAGTCCACAGCCTCTTTGGGTCTCTGTGTCACTGTTTGTCCATCTTCATGATGAAAAAAAGAAAAATAATTTAGTATCTTAGAAATACAGAACTTTGCTCTTTTTTTCCACAAAATCACATTAAAAGCAGTCATATTTCATAATGCACATAATAAAAAAGAACAGAAGCAGCTAAAGAAAGAGCCATACATTGAAAAGAGCCAAGAATAGAAGACACGAAAGCAATTTAGATTTGACTATGTCAAAACAGACACAGAGCTGAAACCTGTTGACTTTTACACAAATAAGATCAGACAGCATCTTGCTGAGAAACTACTCACCTGATCTCGGGAATATGGAGTATCCACTATGTGTTTGTCTGAACATGCTGCTAGAAGAATCTTCATTGCATTTAACTGGAGCAATATTTCACAAGCCATGGTATCAAAAAAAGTAATATTGGCAAGAGCTGCTGAAGCCAGCAGGAAAACTTCACCAGAGGAGGCTTCTTGGCACAGTTCTAGAAATGCAGAAAATAAGTTGAATAAAATTCTCTCCTTCATTGCAAAAAAACATTATTATATGTTTCAAAGCAATATTTAAACATCTGCTACTTGCATTAGTAATCTTAGTATCTAAGACCAAGTTCATAATCATCAAGATAAAAAAAGAGAAAACATAAAAAATCAAAAAAAATCATCTTAATTTTGTCAATTACATAGTATGTCACATTGTTAGGGTGCTTTATAAGTGATATTAACATCAGGCACCTTCATTTGAACCACAAGAGCAGGGAAAGATGGTGAACGTGAACCTAGACATGAAGTGTTTCTAACATTCATCAATTAATGAGATGGTCTATACCGTTCTACAGGGAATATTCCACTGAATGATGTTCAACATAAAGCTTGCTATAACTAAATAAAATTAAATACAGGAGGCAGAAGGCTAACAGTAACTGATCCATAAGAGAATAATTCTGCTATATATCCTCTTCTGTAGAACAAGATATGTGTACATTTTGCCTATCTCTAAACCTGTTTCTCTATAGTCAAAGATCATCTTGCATATTTTCCAGCTTCAGTAAGAAGTGCTGAAGACACAGCTCCCTTGTAATTCCTTGCACACATGTATTTTAACTAAGATACCTGGCAACTGGATTTCAGCATGGTTTAAAAATTAAACATATTACAGTAATTCAATTACTAAGTTATAAATATTACAAGGAAACTGGCATGTGATTACTGAAAGGGCTCTTCCAAAGTTATACATGTTCTATTTTTAATGCTCACATTTCTTGGGCAGACTATATACTACTGCGTCTTGTGAAACTGAAACTGTGACAATTGGGGAAATGCTCTACCTCCTAATATCTTCTGGATAGGCTGTTCAGATTGTTCCTTGACTGTGGTACGTTGCAATAACCTGGAAAATCATCTTAAATAAATCAGGTCAGATGCCTCTAGCAGTCTAGCTACAGCAGAACCAAGCTCAGCATGGGTTAATTCCACCCATTCTATTCATGGCAGGTTTGGGGCAGAACCTTCAATATTTGTTGCTGGACAATCTGGTCATCAGGAATAAATTGTTTCCTTGATTTCTACAGCACTAGTTCTGTCTGGGCATATCAAAGAATGCCTAAATACATCTCAGATAATTCCCAGCCACTGCAGATTCCTCAGGCACTGGCACTACTATACTCTTTTCTTGTTCTATTTAAAACAAAAAAAAAGCTTGAAAATTGGAGTGCTGTCATTTAACTGTAACCATTGGCCTCAGTAGAGAAATGTCCAGATGTGTTGATATATTATAGGTGAGAAATCAAACTAGATGACCTAAACTGTACTTTCTGACATGAAGCCCTGGGAACCTCTGAATTTTCAGGATCAGAGAGAAGAAGAGAATGTTTGACTGAAAGCTACTAGTATTTGAGAGGGATGGAGCACAGTGCCAGAAATAAGAGATTCCTCTCTTTCGAAAGTCATGAGAAATATCATCTTATTTTTCTGAAGTGTCCTTACTGACCCAGGTTAAGGAAAACCTTGCTTTTACCTTCACCTCATTTTACCATGGATCAGAGGCCTAGACAAGAAAGACAAACCTTTTATTTTCTTGTAACAGTGCCCATAGATTATACTATATGTACTTTTTCTCTGAGTATCATACAAACGTAGAGGCAGTGGTGAGCTTGAGTTCTAGCAAGTTTAGAAAATGCAACAGGCATAAAGGTTAGCGACTATTAGAAACTGCTCTTCTGCAGACAAACATGGAACAAGAGGATACTTTGCTGAGTCTTTTCTGTGGCTCTAGTGGTGGAATTTCACACAGTTATTATTTTGACAAATATACATAGATTCTATTCAAATATAGATTGGAGTAAAAAATACTATGTAGTTGCAGAATGCCCTGATTCAGAATTAAAAATTACTGGGTTCCTTCATCTTTTAAGGACAGAATGGCAAACATTATTTCACAGAATCACACAGAATCACAGAATGGTAGGAGTTGGAAGGGACCTCTGTGGGTCATCTAGTAAGTCCTACCCCAACCTGTCATTTAAACTGGAAAGACTCAGAAGTCCCATAAAGAACTTACTGACAAGTGCTGTTACAATTTCTTCCATATGTTCCAGAAAGCTGCTGAGATGCTGAGTGAACGTGAGTTGTGGAGATGTGATCTGTGCAATTACTGCTGCTGCCTCTGCATGAGTAGCTTCGGAATGGGTGTTATCAGTAAGAATGTCAGCCAGGCACAGTATCCCATCAGCCTACGGAAAACAATAGGTATAGGTTGGAAATGCTTCAGGAAATACTTTTGCAACCAAAGATGGGTTTACAGTTCTCTCTTCTTGGCTGTGGCTAAACTACTCAGTTTATTTTCAAAAATGACTTAAACTTAGTGGCATTATGACATAAGAAGTTGCAATTTAGCAAATACAAATGAGTTCAGTGTAAAAGTTTGTTGACCAGCAAAAAGTCTGGCATTTCATTCTCCCTTAATGTTTCTGCTGAATTGATTTTGGTCAAACAAATAAGTCCTTCTGACAGATATCTCAAGTTAAACATTAATGAAAAATAAGCAAATGCTAACTGCTACTATGCCACAGCCTCATTTAAGCTCTCGCCTGAGTGTGTCCCACTGAGAGACTCAAGCCTGAGTGTGTAGTTAAGTTCTTCATAGACATATTTTTTTGCCATTTCTTTTCTGAATTTGTCACAAAGCTAATGTCAGGATCAAAAAATACTATCAAAGAGAGGGCCTGGCCAAGCTGCACCTGATGGGTTTGCACAGCTCTCACGTTAAAGCTAGGTCCATATATCCCTTTCTTACTTGGAAAAGAAACAGAAAAATTAGTATAACGTACATAAGGTTATGCTTTTAGAGTCTGAAGTGTTCTAAGCCCATTCCTTACACAGCTTAGGCAGATACATCATATAGGCACACCTTGCTCTGGATTACAAGAGACCTATTGCCATGGGAGACTGCGACAGAGCATAGCCAATGGGATAGCTTAAACTGCAGAAATGAATCATCTGTTAACAACCAAACCCAGCAAAGGAAGATTCTCTGTAGACAAGGACATAATCTGTGAATTTTCAAGTTAAGAGGACTATGTTTCTCCCCCTGTTTAATGTATCCCTGAATAATTCTTCACATTGTCAAACAGGCAGGTAGATGTGCTTAAAGGGGACAAGAGCGTGAAGATTTATGTAATTAATTATGGACATGTTTATGTCAAACCCACATAAATTCACTAATTAAAATCTTTACATTAATGAAACTAATGTACCTATAGGGACAGTTTACAAATGATCAGAACTTTTAGAAATTTAACTGAGTATCTCAAAAGCTGACCTTATTTATTTATTTATTTAAAGTTCTGAAAAAATGTGGGGTCTACTGCCTTGTATATTGCTTGGACTCTTTATGAAGAGGAGTTATGAAGGCTTAACACTGAAATATACATTAATAGTCAAACAAAAACAAACCCACATTTGTGTTGTACACTCATCAAGACTCTTTTGCAGGTCTGTTGTTCAGACTGCATTCTCTGTCTATGCAAAGCTTCCTCAGAATGCGCATGTTAAGTCCTATCCATTACCTCCACAATAGGTATTTAGCAAATCTCTTATTCGTGTTTTTGTTATTTATTAATACAGAATGTTGAGTTATCTTAATTACTTATCCTGCAATGGGCATGAATTAAATTATGTGATAAGAAGTGACAGTTAATGTATTTTACAAGAAAAGCTCTCAGATTGATGGGAGCAAAAATTACCCTCTGGAAGATCATTCATTGTGATGCACTTTTTAATAGGCAATAGACTATATCATTGGAACTCTAATAACACAGATAAATACAAAAGAAATTATATCTCTATTTTTCCTCAGATTACAAATGGGATTTAGTATAGTAGCTCAAGTACTGGCAAGAAGAGGAAGAATAAATTTTCAATGTTAAACTTTTTCGTGACAAGCTTTCAACATTAATCTACCTACAGCAAAATATTTCCTCCTAGTTATGGCAGAATTCTACAGCTTGAAACAGCAGATTCACATAATTCACTTGACTTCAAGGTATATTAATAGATCTCAGTGTCAAGAATTAATATATGTCCTCACAAGATGATTTAGTAGCCAAAGTATGCTAGACAATATCATATGCAAAACCCCCAACTTTGTCACCTTGAAACCTCCCCAGATCACACCTTGTCTGGGGTCCAAAGGATGCTAATAATAACAGTCAGTATAAAAAGTTAAATATATTCCAAGGCATTCAAAAAATACGTCACAAGAAATTTCTAAGATCTGGTAACAGGATACAGCACTCTTCAGTTCTAAATTTACTAGTTAAAATTCACTTGGCCAACTCTTACTCAATGACCTTGACAAAATTGCTTTAGAGTAGTTTTATGCTATTTCAGAACAAGTAATGGCTTATGAAACACGGGTACAAGCACATGCTTAGATTTTTCCATCACTGCTGACTGTTTATATCTACACAATAAAACACAAGCTTCTAACAATACAAGGGCTCTACTCAACTTTTAAATTACATATGTGATTTTTTTATTTGCTAAGTAAATGTTTTTAGAAATTGGGAGTTGCTGAATTGTAAATAGAAGTGGATATATGTTTTTATTCAGTATAAAGATAAAATACATATTTTGTATCCATGAGAGCCAGCACTAGTTAGCTTTTCTCCTTTCTATTCAGAAAGATGTAAAATACTAACAAATTCAACCTAAAATTTGCTCTATGCAATTTTGTCTCCAGTCTTAAATAAAGAAAATAGAATAAAATAAAATAATTCTACTCCAGCAGGCAACCCCATTTATAAGTGCCTAGCAATAAATTTTAAAATGACAGGGGAACAATCTAATAAAAGCACTTTAACGTCCAAAAAGAAATTGCTGCTCAAAGCATTTTTATAATTAGCTTTCACACTGAAAGGAACTTTGGATGGCTGCCCTGTTTTCTGTTTAATTTTGGTGAAGTAATCAGCTAAATGTCAAATCTGTTCATCACCTTGGCAATACAAAAGAACCAGTTAGCCAGATAATGGAAACAAATGAATTCCATGAACGCAACAAGATGCTGTGGAGACCCTGCATTTGAGGAATGGCGTTGAGTAAATGCTTGATCACTAATATTTCAATATTGATAACTGGAAAAATGCCAAGAATTTACATCCTTGTGATCATAGCCCTGTTACAGAAACTTAATCCAAGTGACAAAATAAATACGTGACTGCTTTACTGCATAGATCATGTCTTATGAAAGGAAATAATTTCTTTTCTCTGCAACAGGAATGAATGAGTTCTGGGGCAGCCCTCTTCTTTCTTCAGTGTACCTGTTCGTCCTCCTAAAAATATTAAATAAAACTAGACATCTGTTAAATATACCAATACAGAACTTGGGATGAATTACATTAATGACTTTATAATTTTAAATATTACATAAAACAACAGTCTTAACAGTTTGCTTTCTACAAGGAGGTTCAAGGCAGGCTTTCCGTGCCACTCTGGGAATGAAGAACCATTGCCTTCTTTCTAATAAGGTCTGTCTTCATTTGTATAAAACACTGCTGAAGGCCTTTGCTCATACTATGACTTTCTCCAACATTCCTATTTGCCCACTCTTAACACTCAGATGATCTCTACATATTGGTAAACTTTCTCAAATGTGTTTTTTTTTGCATTCTCTAAACTGATCTCCCAAGTCATCTTGCTGAGATTGGAAAACCTTACAGACTATCAGCTGATTTCCCACTGTCAAATCCATGAATAACACTATCAGCCTACAACTGGGTACTTCTGGTAATCAGCACCAGCAGGTTCCAAAGCAGTTTTAAAGGAAGAATGGAAGGGAGGTGTTGAGATCCAGATACAAAATCGCAAAGGGGATTGACTCTCAAACATTATCTCAACCTTCCCAGGAGGGTAGATGAAAATTTCAAAAGCAGAGGCTGCATCAAACAGTCAAGAACTGACAGATTAGAGTTGTGTTTTCTTTATTCCTTCACACATATTGTATATTAGCACCTCCAACTTGAAGCTACGATAGGTTACCTATACAGGTGAAGATATGAACATTAGCAGACTAAATAGAAACTACATAGCTGGATAAAAATCTGAACACGTTAAAATTTATGGGATGAGGAAGAGGGAGACAGGGAAGGAAGGAGGGAGGGAAGGAAGGAGGGAGGGAGGGAGGGAAGGAGGGAAGGAGGGAAGGAGGGAAGGAGGGAGGAAGGGAGGAAGGGAGGAAGGGAGGAAGGGAGGAAGGGAGGAAAAACTATCATATTCAGGAAATGTTTTAATCCCCTTCTCAGCATTCTTTGAACACAATCTACTTCACTTCCCAGACCATCGCATGAACCATGAAGTCTCTTCACTATTCTGGAACTCCACTGAAAGTGTCATCCAGCAGAATCCATGTACCGTTATTTTGATGAACTGTTACTCGTTAAATGAATTCCTGATCATCAAGGATGAGGTATATCCCGTGTCAACTTCTGTAACTGATTCTGCACCTGTAGAAGGCCTACATGTCTTGTTTAATTTCGGCACTGAAAGAAAGGAAGGATAAAGGACAAAAGTATTCTACCTTGCACACAATGATTTTTCATATTTGAACAGTTGCCCTGCCAAGTGCTCTGCAAATAAAAACTGCCTTAGCTCCACTAGCTGAGAACTGTGCTGATTTATAACACATTAAGATTTGGTCAGCTATTTTAAAGTGAGATGATATATTAATAGAGCAATGCCATTAAAATTTCCGCAAATACTATTCCAAGTAATCAAAGCTACTGCAGCAATTCCATAGCAGCAGCAGTGAACAGTGAACAAAACTGCAATGATAATTATAACTGCTGCTGTACAACAGTGGCCATGGGACGTAGTTTATAAGCCCTATTGTATACTCCACAGAATAGTGTGGGGCTGAATAAAGGCTGAATGTTTCCCATCTTGGTAGCTTTAAAACTACTGACAGTAACCTTAGTTTTGTATCTAAATTGGCTGTGAGTAGGTGTTTTGGTTCATGGCAACTTCAACTAAGGCCTCCATTTTAAACTTCCCTCTTTCATAATGTGGTCAAGCTAATGAAGAGAGCCATCGAGGAGCAGTGTGAAGATGATCTGATCTATATGAGGAATATTGTTATATGTTGTGAAAAAAAAAATCTCACCTTCTCTCTCAAAAAAAAAAAAGGGAGACAGTTGGCTGTATCGGCTTGAAGGATGCATTAAATGTGGCAATGCCT